GTGGTAATCAAGTTCAAAAATAGGAATCAACTCCGCGTGGATGGTGAGATGTGAGTGTGGTGTTCGTCATGAACATTTACAGTTACCGCAGATTTTCAGCAAAGATGTGTACAGATAACCCCGTACAGCACGATTAGTAGAACCTATATGTGCTGTATTAAGATTGTTGTAATAAGGAAGAGGCTCGTTAAAGTTATACATCGACAACGGCGGCTCGTGGCGGTGTATGTCGCACTCAACGAGGTCATGATGATGACCCATCTGACGCAATCTCGGCGTGGGAAAATAAAGGAGATAGACTGATAGTGACGTTACCTTTCTAATGAATCCTGAAAAATTTACATAGGTAAGATGTTTTGCCCACTTTATTAGGGTCGCTACCACAAAACGTTGTTATTTTAGCGCAAAGGGAGTACAGTCGGTATGCACCTTGCGCTAACGAGGTTTGACACTTTTATGGCCTAAAGGGACGTGTGAATCGCCCAGTAATCATATTGAAATAGTTATTAGCGAACGGCACGCCAATTTATATTGTGGTCGTGTTCAATCTGTCGTGGACATTAAGACAATAAGCTTCCACATTATTACAACTTATTGTGTCCTTAAGATTTACACAATATTGCCCCTGTTTGCCGGCTCTTCCTTTTCGTTAGCAGAGGATTGCGGAAAATATCCAGTCATAGTGCATTAACTGTTTATAGATTTGTTTGCGAAGTGCCATAAAGACCGAATGTTTACGTACAAAAAGTACTGGGCAACCATAAAGATACAAACTACCAGTTTCAGCTGTAGGTATACGGGTAGAACACTCAATTTATTATGATTATTTATTATTACGCGGTTCAAAGGCCTTATTTTCAAAGTACCAAGTTTATTATGGAACAATTTAGTCATCTGCAGCTTCGCTATTCAAATTAGTCATTCAATTTTGTATTCGACTCCGTATTTTGTGATTGCTTGCAACTGTCGGGGGAGTACGGAACGCCGAAGGAAGCGAATTTGAGCAAAGAACGTGTTTTATGTTGTTCATAGACTATTTGTGACTCTTCGATAAAAGATCGAGCGATATTTTATAAAACGGTTATTACTTCTTGAGAGTTTAGGAGAAATTGCTTACCAATACCACAGACAACATATACTAGTTGCCTGTGCCAATACTGTACTTGGGTACTGCTTCAGAAGCGTTTTAGAGATTTTTAATGGTTTTTAAGAAAACCTTGAGTGATTCTTATATGAATATGCTAAAAAACTGGGTAAGCTTTTTATAAAGCATAATTTTACAGAAATTTTGCAAAGTGGGTGAAGATTGCTCGAGAGGCCTCAATTTGAATAAAGTCGATATGAATCTCTGAAAAATCATATGAGAAAACTATTATCTTTCAATGGTCTCCTCAACAATACAAACAACACATTTGAATTGAATTTCTGAAAAATATCTTTAAAAAGTTCTTATAGGAAATATTATAAAACCATTAAAAAGTCATTGGGAATTTTACTTTTGACGCATTTTTGCAAAGGGGAAAAGCAGCTATTGTGGCCATTCCTATCACGAATTACGTTAAATTAAAATTTTTCTGTATAGATAACATTTTAGCTTCTCCTCGCCTTCTGCTGATTGAAAGCGGTCCAAAGAATGCGAAATCCTCTTGTAGATAAGACGGTAATATTTTTAATTACGTACATTTCGGAAGTTACAAGGGTTTCGGATGATTTTGGCGAAATACATTGAACAATTTCAGAAGAAGAAAGGTTTAAAGAAATGTTGCCAGATTTTGAGAAAGGCGCAAAGATTTCGTAAAGCCAAAAAATTTACAGAGAACTATGGCGCATAATCGGCATTAAAGAAAAGTATGATAAGATCAAACTCCTTACACACCCTATTAGTAATTGGTTGCAGGAAAAATGGCTTAGAAAATAACCGCTGTTACCTTCCGTTTTCTGATTTCCCCTTTCTCTAGTGAACGAGCCTCGTTGTTATTTTTATGTTTTTACGTTGTTCTCTTAAATATTTCGGCGCCTATCTTTTGTTAACACGTGAATTACCGTGAATACGTGAATAGTAATCAAGAAATACGCGATATGCAGAGTGTAGCATCTAAGACTCCTCGAATCATAATTTCTTTACCATAAAAGATATACTTAGAGCAAAATTGTACACAATTACCGGCGCCATGTTTGCAAAATATTTTTGATCACCAAGGGCGTGCTGTATTCCAGTCGCGTATCAAACTTGCATTTTTTTTAATGGAACACCTCATATTTTATTGCAGATTTGGAAAGTACCCGAAAAGGACTTACTAATTTATATAACATGTTATACCCTTAACTAAAACGATTTCGCTCTTATAAACTTAAAAAAATATTACATTTGGCCAAGATCAATCAAACATTTTATTTTTTGATAAACCCCCTACATATTATGGCACATGAGAAGAGTCTGTGCTTCAATTCAAAACAGCCGCCTGCGCGATTTGGTTTTTCTAAAAAAAAATTATAATAACTATCAAATTTTGAGAGACAAAGGTTCTAACAGCGAAATCGTTAAAGTTAAAGGTACGTATAACATGTTACTTAAAAAAATAAGTACACGCCCCTAGTGATTAAAAATCTTTTAGAAACATGGCGAAGATAATTTTGTAAAATTTTTCTAAAACTTTTTTCGGTATCTTTTATGGTAAAGGAATTAGGTATGTTCAGAGTTATCTTAGATCGGAGGTACCTTAGATGCTACACCCTGTAGATTAAAATTTTTGATACTTTCCTGCGCGAGATTGGAGTTACATTAGAAAAAGGCAAAAGTAACACAAAAAGAAGAGATTTTCAATTTTACAAGTATGCGCGTGAGACACTCACCTTTGGTTTTTCAATGCACTTTAATGTAGGTAGGTACCACTCTTTACTTTTCGTTGAACCAATGACAATCGCAATTTGGAAAATGACGTTACGCTCTCTTGAGTGATAGGGTTCAGTGAGGTCTAGGCTTAGGAGCCTGCGGAAGAAAAACGAAAGGCAGTTAGTTTATGGGATAGGGGGTGATAATAATCGAAGGGCATTACTTAGTTGGTGGTGGTAGGTTTTCTATAAATGCCGATTTCAATATTTGAACTACCTCTCCTCATGACACGTCTAGAAAATTCAGGGATTTGTTTGTCCCAATCTCTAAGGTAAATTTTAAATTATGGTGGAGATAATTAAAAATCTGAAAACAAGCATCTAAATCTCACCTGTTCCTCTGAAGATCACAAGCATGTCACCGACATATCTCTTATAGAAAAAGAAATGGGTTTATGGGGTTAAGTTTGGATTCTAGGTTATTCAAAAAAAACTTCAGCTATAGTAAAGGGGTGGTTTGGATATAATGGTTATTGTTAAACAAGAAGTGGTTTTGTTCTGAGCCAAGTTGAGAGATGCAGAGATGAAGGAGCAGATGTAAGAGAGGAATTGGTAAGGTTTTCGTCTATAATTTATAAACAGTCTGAAAAAGGAATAGGTTGACAGTATCAAAGGATATGAGTCGTGATGCGGGAAATTTATTAATTCTTTAGCAAACAAATGAGAATTTTTTGTAGTGTTTGAAAATTTAAAATTTAAATAGTACAGAGTTAAGCATAGGGTAGCCGGATTTGTGAATTTTTGGAAGTGCGTATAGTCTAGGAACAAAAGGATTCATATTGGTTAAACTTTGGGAAGTAATCTTAAAATGGGCAAATACGACAGTTTTGCGATTAAACAAGACCTTTTTGTGAAATGTTTCGTTGTTGACTTTTGATTGTTTAAAACCATCTGATGCAAGAAAAGTCTCAATCCCTGATATGTAGTCTTTTTTATTCACGATTACTAGGGCGTTCCCTTTGCCGGCTTTAGTCGCACTATCAAGTTTTCGTTCTTAATTTTTTGTGTTAAGAGTTTTATGATTAAATTTGCCTTTGAAATTGCTAAACTTCTTAAGTTTATTTTGTCACAAGGCTCTCAGGTGTTGTTGATGGACCTCGTTGTCTATTTTATGAATTTTCGACGGCGGCGTCGTCATCCACCCACGCCGTAGCTTTACTTAAGATTTAATTTTTATAAAATGTGACTCAAGACTAGTTAATGAAATATTTTCTATAATGTTATAGTTAAATTTGTCAGCATTAATTCTTTTCCCGTAAGTAGAAACTAACTTAGATCTTATAACTTAACCTAGAAGTTTTTCAGCATGCCTGTTTTAAAATAGGTTGTATGTGTAACTTAACTTCTAGAATGTTTCGTTTTAATATCTAATCTCCATAATGTATACTTTAAGTTTAACAATTTGTAATTGATATTATAGCCAGAGGATGACCGTTGACCAAAACGAGTCGCTTTACTCCCGGAACATATTGTTATAAACAACAAACTTTCAAATACATCACCACAACACGAGGCACAAAGATGACGTACGAGTAAACTTCGGTCGACTCTGCAAAACTCAAAAAGGTCCTAGAATACAATCTCAAATATTTTTTAACTGCATCCCTGCGCACCTAAGACACATAGACATAATAGAATTTAAGAATAAAATAAAAACATTTTTAAGTAACCAATGCTTCTATAGCTATCAAGAATTTTTAACTTTTGATTTTACCTGTGATACTTCTAAACATTTGTTTAGATAAGTGACTGTGATATTTTTGACGATGTGTAAGTACTCCATGTATGTTAGCCTGAATATATATTATTATTATTATTATTATAAATAAAAAAACGAAGAAAAAATGGCAAAATGTTGTTTCTTTCACTTTTGACTAGGTACGTTTTATAGATATTGCATAATTAAATCAACAAATTTACAAAACGAGTAACTCCTAGAGCGTTCTCATTTTTTTTACAAATGGTGGAACCCTAAGGTCACCATTTCCAAAAATTGTCCCGATGATTCTTGCAAATCGACGGATTTTTTTAGTTAACGCTTAGTGAAGACCCTTCACTCAACGTTTATACACATACATACAAACAACAAATGAATAACAGTTTTCTTACCAATAGTACTCCCATCAAAAAAGATAAACAGGTAAAGGCGAATCATTTTTCTGCAGTCGAAGCAAATTGAAATGGGTCATACTGAAACAATATGGTTTGGTTAAGAATCTGCCATTTGGAAAATTAAAGAATATTATAAGCTAGGTATATATTGTATGTGCGTATGGTTTAAATTTTTCCATCCCAAAATTCACCCTGCTAATGTGATGTAATAGACTAATAATTAGCTTTTGCATTAGACTTTTGAACACCCTAGTTCACTAATCAAATGGTTAGCTCTGAGGTGCAGTGTATAACTGCCTTTTTTTGAGCCCCGAAAAAAAATTGTCTCAGATCGACCCGGAAAAAACATTTTTCTTATAGAATGTGGCCTGTAGAATCCATAATTTCAAACAGTTCCAAGATTGGGCTACTAGTTCAAAAGTTACAGCCCTTTGAATTTTTTTTTCGAAATTGGTTTCTAGTCTATAACTTTTGATTGAGAAGTCTAATCGAAAAAGTACGAATTGTTTTGGATTCTACGCACCAAAATTAATTAGAAAAAGTGTTTTCCCGAGAAATTTTGGTGTAGTCGATTTTTGGTAAAAAAGGAAGGTTATACACTGCCTTTTTTTGAGCCCCAAAAAAAAATTGTCTCAGATCGACCCGGAAAAAAAATTTTCTTATAGAATGTGGCCTGTAGAATCCATAATTTCAAACAGTTCCAAGAGTGGGCTACTAGTTCAAAAGTTACAGCCCTTTGAATTTTCTTTCGAAATTGGTTTCTAGTCTATAACTTTTGTTTGAGAAGTCTAATCGAAAAAGTACGAATTGTTTTGGATTCTACGCACCAAAATTAATAAGAAAAAGTGTTTTCCCGAGAAATTTTGGTGTAGTCGAATTTTGGTAAAAAAGGAAGGTTATACACAGGGGCGGACTGGGTACTTAAGGGCCATTAAGCCATTAAAGTATTAGTGTAGTAATGAAGGTGCCGGGGGGGTAGCTCTGAGGTGCACCACAAAAACATTTTAAAGTACTCCTTTCTCGAAAATCAATTACCATACAGTTTTTTTTTAAATTGCAGCTGATAATTAAAAGTAACAAAATATACAATTCACACGAGGTGCGTCGCCTATCATTGTATTTCAGCACTTTCATGCTACGACAAAAAATGATAAATTCATTGTAAAACACTTCAATTAAAACAGAATTTTTTAACAACCTTATATCAACCCCAATTAGAGAAACGTGTTAATAATTTATTAATAGTGCAAGAAACTAAATACAGCACATACTTATAAATTTCCAACGGGCCATTATGATCTACAGGTCAGGTGGCAATAATTAAATCAACAAATTTACAAAACGATGCTTGGTCTTTCAAACTGAGTGACTTCTAGAGCGTTCTGAATTTTTTTTACAAATGGTGGAATCCTAAGGTCACCATTTCCAAAAATTGTCCCGATGATTCTTGCAAATCGACGGACTGTAGAATTTTTTTAGTTAACGCTTAGTGAAGATCCTTCACTCAACGTTTATACACATACATACAAACAACAAATGAATAAAAGTTTTCTTACCAATAGTACTCCCATCAAAAATGATAAACGGGTAAGGCGAATCATTTTTCTCCAGTCGAAGCAAATTGAAATTGGTCATACTGAAACAATATGGTTTGGTTAAGATCTGCGATTTGGAAATATTATAAGCTAGGCATATATTGTATGTGCGTACGGTCTCAATTTTCCCATCCCAAAATTCACCCTGCCAATGTGGTGTAATAAATGAATATTTAACTTTTGCATTAGACTTTTGAACACCCTAGTTCACTAATCAAATGGTTACAATTCTAATACATTAAAAAAAGAATGAGTTCGAATCTCAAAAAGGGCACAACTTTAATGCACAAGCATTTTTGAATATATAAAGCGACATTGCGGGCGTTGGCTGCCAACTACACGGGTAAACCCGTATTTTTATAAATTAACTAAAAACAAAAACTTCCATACCTTCCTATTCTGTTTTCACATCGCATTCATTGATACTATCGCCAATCACACCACCAACCCCCTACATTTAAAGAGAGTTTAAACACCACAATCACGATATACAGATCACACGGTCACGAAGCAACTAAATTCGATTATTATAAGTAATGCCTTATCAGTTAAAACTAACAGGTTTCTTTTACTTGAACTTGCATAAAAGTACGTTTCAACGACGTGTTTGGCCGTTAAAACCAATGACGCACGTTTCGTATCAGAATCAGGCCACATTTTGCGTAACTCGAAATTCATTTTTACTTTTACATATACCTACCCGACAAACTAGAGAAACGCTATAACCAAATCCAACTGGTATAGAGTGGTTTACCCCCTTGATTAAAAATACGAGGATGGTTTTTGAGAGAAATCGGTTTTTTTACTACTACTAGTAGGGTCGTGGAATTCTTTTAGGGTTCCAAAGTTGCATCCCCTGGTGCATACTAAAGGCCGTTTGTAGATGCCAGCCATGCTAGCTCTATTGTCACGTTCTATTTTCCTTAAAAAAAACTGATTCTGATTTTCCATGCCCTGTTTTGCCACGGACAATAAAAAAGGTATATAAAACTCATTCGGCCTGGCCCAGGTCGCCAAATGTAATTGAAGAATATGAATCTTTCAGAATCTCGTCTCTCCCTTTCTTGGTAATTATATCCAAAAGTTCATTTGGAATGTTATTAATTATTATTTTCAACATTTTGAGATAAAACACTCGAAAACTTCCCCTAAAAACTTCTCGAATCGATATGATTTAAATATTTACTGAGAAGGAATTGACCATACAAAACTAAATGAAGGATCCTTCTCATAGTATGTCTTAAGGATCCTATTTTTACACAAACAACTTCTTAATTATTTCGACACCACGGTTGTAGAAAAGTCGGTTTGCAAATTTTTCAGACATAGAAGATGGCCGATAGTCAATTGATGATAGGGTGAAAATTCGCGTCCATATTGATTCACGATTAAATAGAAAACAAGGGCGATTTTAAATGCATCTAAAATCCCTGTTAACAAACTCATTATATGCACAAATTGTACTTTTCTTTCAATAACTACAAGGTTGTTAATGTCCTTATTCAAAGGGGAGGTTGCATTGGCTTCGTTGATTTAGCACCACCTTTCCGTTTGAAGAAAGATTGCGCTAGAATCTCTATAGATAGCGCCACTTTGAATTCAACTAGCGCCATTATAGATAAACAAGCGTGTTCCACAAATTCTTTAAAAAGCGACCGAAATAATCAACACTTTTTATTTATCAACAATTTTTTTTGTAAAACGATCGATTGCAATGGCCAAGAGTTAAAAATCCATGCTCTGTGAGTGTACCAATAGAAAAAAGATTGAGGGCATCGCTCCCATGGTTTTTTTCAAATTGAAAACTAGCCAGTAAGCACCATTGAAAAATAGATAGTCTTAGTAGTCAAAATGTATAATCGTCTCGTCAAAAATAAATATTTATGCTCTATTTAGTGTGTTAGTCAGTACTCTTGACATTTGTAATGCATAATATTAATCAAGCAATACATAGGTACATTTCATTAGTTTTTATGAGAGGCTGATGTGTTTTTATACTTATTCGACGTCGTTGTATCGATTTTTAGTAAGGTATGTGAACTCGTAAATTGCTGCAGTCGATGGGCCGAAGAACAATTTTTGCGATCCCTTTCGTAATCGGACTGTAAAACGTTGCTAAAAACCGATACAATCGATTCCCTACCATTCGATTTTATTGTTTGACAAAATATATATGTAAAAAGTAGTTGGAGTACTAAATGTAATTTCTTCAGGAATGAAGTTTTTTTTCAGAAACATTTTCTGATTCAAATAAAACCAAATACTGAGCCTCGTTTTAATTGAATTCCGTATATAGAATGAAATCGTTTGTATAGGTGTTTACGCTTTTTTTTGTATAGGTTTAAATATCCATGAAATGAAGTGTTTTATTTATCGTAAGGTATTTGATTGCCATATTCTTCTGTAGCCACCGCTCTTACATGTTTTTGTATGTAACTTTAATCAAAATCAAAGTTTAGATAATTTAGTTCGATTATTGACGCCTCTAAAGTGTCGTGGTTTTTGTCTTGTAGAAAGCTCTTCATGGTGTACCTATAATCCCATAGATTACCGTTCAATGTAAGCAGTTCATTTTACGAAACCCGTCGGCCCAGATATTTAATTCCAGTAGCTATCTGCTAGTCACGCTTCTTGTATTTAAAGTTTATTGGAGATTTTAGATAACATTTACGACTTCTAATCGTACTAAAATTGCCAAAACTAGAATGAATAAAACGTGAAACTATTTCAGTTCGGATCTAATGGATTTAATTTGCGACAAATTGCCATTTAATGAAATGGGACAATTTGTAATCAATATACAGATTGATTACATCTTTAATTATTCCTACAGAATAACATTTGTATAATTAAAGATAATTTATTGCAGTCTCTTATATATTTAAATTTTCCATTATTTCTGTATAGCCGACAGCTCTGTTTGTTTTTATATTATTAATTAATCCTACGGTTATTGGGCTAAGTTCAATTGAATTTTCTCTTTGTATTCGTATTATGTGCACATTCGAGGACTCTGATGAAAATTCTAGACCACTTCAAGTGTCTCGTACAAGTATGTTTGTTGCTATCTCAATCGTTAAATGTCCAAATTCAAAAGTAAAAAGCTTACTAGTTGAGTATGGAAATTTGAGAACCTCTGTTTTAATGAGCTTGCTTGGAAGCACTTTCTGGTGAGCGATTATTCCGTGGAGCTGCATATTTCGAGAGCATAACGCAAAGCGAGAGAGATTCAGGCCAACATGTTTCGTTAAGGATCTGGGTCCCCAAAAGTCCGTATCCGAACCTTGCGGATTGACCTAGGTTTTTAGTAACCCCTTTCTGAACGTAGTCGTATACGAATTTTCACAAAATTCATTCCACGCGATCTCTAAATGTAAGAAAAGCCGTTATCTCCATTCGTTATAATCAGGGGCGAACTGGGTAACTGCGGGCCAGGTGGAATTGCATTGCATAGGTTACGGGCCATTAAAGTATTAGTGTAGTAATGAAGGTGGCGGGGGGGGGGGTAGCTCTGAGCACCTAACAACCTAACATCAACCCCAATTAGAGAAACATGTTAATAATTTATTAATAGTGCAAGAAACTAAATACAGCACATACTTATAAATTTCCAACGGGCCATTATGATCTACAGGCCAGGTGGCAATCGCCACCCGCCCCCCCGGCCCAGTTCGCCCCTGGTTATTCAAACAGTTCCAAGATTGGACTACTAGTTCAAAAATTACAGCCCTTTGAATTTTTTTTCGAAATTGGTTTCTAGTCTATAACTTTTGATTGAGAAGTCTGATCGAAAAAGTACGAATTGGTTTGGATTCTACGCACCAAAATTAATAAGAAAAAGTGTTTTCCCGAGAAATTTTGGTGTAGTCGATTTTTGGTAAAAAAGGAAGGTTATACACAGGGG